TCGATCTTAAAAACTATAGATAAACGGTGAGCATTTTTTTTTCAAATATGTAACATGTAATCATTGTGGGAGGTAATTTGAGGTATATAACTCCTTATTAGTCATAATATCATTTAGTTGGACGATATTATTATCATACAATGTAACAAGGAGACGCATGTTAATATACCTTTTTTTTTTTGTTCGTGCATCATATGAAACTGACGGCTAAAAAAAAAAAAAAACTTTAAAGTGCTTGGCTTTTCTTGTCAGCCAAGTATTTTATTATGAGTAGAAAACAAGAATGCATATATGGGTAATTAATTAAAATTGTATGCCAAGTACGGAAGCAAATTAATTAAATATATATCTAATAAGAAATTTACAGTTCAACCTTATAATAAAGTTGCTAGGGATGGTTCTAAAGGTTACAAAAAAAGATTTGCAAGACAAAATTAAGGGAACTAACTTATAAAATCGTATTACCAAAAGGAATCAACAAATTGACTATCGTTTGATATTTCACAACATTCGCATTGCATTTCAAAACAAAAGCACAATGCTCTGACACTCTGAAACATATTAGTTCTTGTTATTGAACAACAATTTGTTGTACCAAATAATTACGAGATCTATTTATGTAAAATAATAAATAGAATATACAATAGACGTGGATTATTTTTTTTTTCTATTAAAGTGCCTACCATCATTTTTTTTTTCCTCACGACTGCTAGTTCAGTTTTAACCATTCTGTATTTATTATATATTTGTTTATTAGCAAGATGATTCATAGAAGATTCACTGTTTTTATAATCATTCTTTCGTGTACAATTTCGTTTGGTATTACTTCTGGTAAGCACATTTATTTTAATTAATCAGATTAATTTCTAAACTTTTTAAAATTATTTAACACGAATTTAATACGAATTTAACAAATTTAAAAAGCATTACAAGTAAATCAAGATGTAATAAACGACTTACTATTGAAACGTCAGGCATCTCCAGACACAACAGACACGACAGACACGACAGCCACAAGTAGTCCGATGCCAGCACCAACTCTTCCGGGAACCCAATTACAAATGACATTAGTAGTTGGTCCGTCCGCCGCATCTGCACTTCTTGCTCTGTGTGCTATATCAATAATTGGAGGCGGTATAACGAGAATGTTTTCGCCGAAAGAGAAAAGTGTAAATATTATGATAAATAATGAATACAAAGAACTTGAGGATATTAGGGTGGAGCCTGGCAAAACTTCCACACAGCAATATGCATATATATAACATAGATGATTATAATACAATTTTTTTTTTTTTTAATACAAAACAAGTGAATTTTATTAGTAAGAGATGCCTGGTGCAAATTTTTTTACGAATAAATATATATATCATGCTAATAATAATAATTTATATATAACAGAATGGTTTAGATATTTTAGTATTTTTATACATTCTTTCTTTTTGTTTTTAACAACGAAATGTAATATATTAAAAGAAAAGAAAAAAAAATTCAATAAACAATACATAGCAATAGTGATAGATGGTTGCGCACATCTAAATATTTACAGTACATTCTTTTATTGTCTCAACCTGATTATAGACTTTAAAAAAAGTTTTCATTTCAGAGAGTATCTGATGTGACACTGAACATCGCTTACGTATAACGTCTAAGATTCAATTCATTTACTATTCATTGCTCTCTACATCTTTACTGTATTTCATCGTATGAACAATTTGGTGTATCCTTATTTACAATTATTACTGTATCATGAATCCTAGGACACTTATGACCGAATAGATGATTTCTACTCGGTCATCGGCTGCATTATTTGTTACTACGAGTACATACGTACGTACATAAGGTAAATTTTAATTTTTTAGAGAACCAAAAACAGTTAAGGCATTTCATGTCCTGTGATTTGCATATGACCAATCAGAGTAGAGGCATGCGCGGGCCGGGCCGAAATTAAATGCGAACCAAATATAGTAAAAAAGCGGATTGAACTTTTTCTTATAGGCCGACAAAAAAATAATGTCATTAGGGTTCGCGCAACCTCTCACCATAGCATGATATTATAATTTTTAATTTCTCACACATTTGGTGCTAAGTTTCCTTAGTTTTATTTTTTAGATTTGTATCACTCGCCAAGATATGACTTTGCCTTCGCACCAATGCATTAGAGCTTTATATTTAGATAATAAAGCGGAGGAAATTTTCAAAATGTAAAACTTGGCTTAGGGACTTAATTAGAGGTTATAGAAAAAGTATAATTGTAAAATTTTTATTCTCATCATTTTCAATCAGAATCGCAAAAAACACTTGATTTCCATCCATTTTCCTTCGTTTTGCACGTTTATCAGGCTGTCCCTGGATAAATGTTCTCTGATTGAATATTTCCTTTATATGAACTCGCACAAATAACTGTGCCAACAAGATACTCCTTGTCTTGCTGCCATTAGTCAGCTTCAGGAGTGGTTGTTTCGAGATCATTCCATAAATTTAAACGCCTACTCTAGCAGAGCCTTGCTTTGTTTGGTATGCCGTAACTAATCACGACATAAAGTTACAGCATAAGCTGTGACAGTTCTACCTCATCCCTTGTCGAGGTAACCCGAATTTGCATAAATAAGTCAACCATTGTAACTTTTGATTATGGTCTGGTCTACTATTAAGACATTCTAATAATTATTTTTAGCATAAATAGATGTTGCGAAGCGAAAGTTATGAAACCTATAGAACAATTTAATTTAATTTCTTACAATTTAATAATAATTTTTAATTTCACCTAACAATCATACATTAACTAATAAATTCATATGCGTCAATGACAATTGTTTCTTGGCCAGTTAATTTCTTATTTTTCGATCGCATATATAAATGTATAAACTCGATACGTATAAAGTTTCAACTATAATTATATATACAGTATAACTTTAAATAGTTATTAAATAGTATACGTATACTTGCAATCAACCCAAATTTAAAACCAATCGCAATTATTACAATATTCCTAGTTTGTCTTGTATTACATATGTATGTGGAATATATTATGTACCAAGAATAGCCATCAAATCATCTTTGGATATCTTTTTGACTAATTGGACTAATTTCTACGGATTTAAAAGATAATCGAACTTTAAATCGTTTGTTTTTGCCACGAGAAACATCCCGAATTGATTATCAATATGTACAACTATTAATAATCATGCATTATAGGATATTACCATCTCTGGGCGTTATCGTTATAATTTCAAATAAATTATGATTGTGGCGTTTACAGTGTATACGTAGTAGAATTGCAAGATTTCATAATAAAAGATATTTTTTTTTAATACGTAATATTTAAATATGAAATATTTACTATTTACGATGATTCTTTTTATTTGCAAAATTTACCATAACAATTAGGGTTCTGCAAGTAAACATGCCGCGTTATGCAAGGCACTGTTGGCACTGTGGGCGGAAATTTCAGGTGAGACCGTCCCCAATATGGAAATAATGACCTGAGTCACCCGATTGTTACACAACTGATAAGCAATTTTTTTTTATATGTTTTACAATACTATATCCCGACCTATGAAATTCGATTAAAAATTTAATATGCATATATAAT